CTTCTTTTACTTCACTTGCTCTGACGTCTGAAGGTTGTAGATGCTACAATATGTTATGAACGTGATTGGGATCAGAGGTCAGAGATGATCTTTAGGTATAACTGAGATTGTAGTTAGGGAACAAAACAAGGTCTAAGCGCAGAGTTCAAGGGAGCGCTGCACTGTTCTCCCTACAAGCATAACTCGTTATAAGGTTATAACACCCCCCCACTCTAGCCTCATCTCTAGGTAAAACTAGACTTGAGGTAGCGTAGGAGCTGTAGGAGACCTTAAGTTCCTAGAGATCAACCGGCCTAAAAGAACAAGCGGAAACAACCCTTTGATAGAGATGGATAAGCTCTTGAGTCCAGCTGGTCAAGGAGGGGTGAGCTGGGGTGAGTCACCAGGTTTGATAAGTCGTAGATAAGCCACCTACACAGAGAGATCAAGGCTTTGTGCAACCCATCTGGCCAGCCCACGAAACCGGCCAGCCGCTGGGCATTTCACAAGATGTACAGACATTTCACATGTATTTAAATATGTCTGCGTGCCACACGTCAGGTTGTAGGCGCGCCGGGGCGTGTTTTGCATTTTTTCACGCCTAGGTGCTACTTGGCGCCCCGGGCGTGTTTCTTTTAAAAAACAACTGCTGCAAGCTGAAATGCTGCTTTTTCGTCACATTTTATTCTACATTTGTATTGCTGAAGCTATTGACCACAGCAGCTTTGCATTTAAAGGCAAGATAGATTACAAATAGTGGTCATCAAAGTCCTACTACTGTTGTTGACAACTCCAATTTTGGGTAGTGGACATACAGCTACTAAACATATAAAAGGCATAAAATACAAATTTGTGTTGCACCAAGATTTACAGCACTTCAAGAATCCTTTGGTTTTTTTAACGCAAGAAAACAAAATAAATGTCCAAAACCCTTGCTAAAACCCTTGCTGAAACTGATTTTGTACTAGAATCTGTCAAATTTGAACTGTCCAAATGACTTTTTTCTGATTTTTTCAAAACTTTAAAAAAAAGACCACCAAATAAACCAAAGGATTCTTGAAGCGCTGTAATACAAAAGTTTAAATCCTGTTAAATCCAATTGAAAGTGACAGGTCTCCCGCAATACATTGTTGAATTGTGTACAAAACCATGTTTAATCTAGTTTTGGGCTCTCAGATTTTACTTTGGGTGCATCACACAGACAAAGAATTCTGATGTTTAATCCTTTAACAACTGTAGAACTCCTGAGGTTGGGCATGATTTTCAAAAAGGTGGGCCAACGCCATTTTTTGTAATTCCTTTGAGGCGTGGCGCCCATGAAAAGGCGCTCACCACCTACAAAGGTACAGATAGGTGGAACATGGCCATCGGGAGAGTGTGAAAGGGGGATGTGTAGGCTCTCACAAGATGTGAAAGGTAGTGAAAGCTCCAACTTCCAACATGTTACAACAGGTTAGGGGCACAGCGGAAACAATGTGTCTTTCCATGGGTGCGCCTCCGCCTCAGAGCCATTGATAAAATTTGGATTGGTGTTCCTCTTTGAAAAACACACCAAATCTCAGGAGTTCTACATCCAATCACCAATATTGGAGTTGTCAAAAACAGTAGTATGAGAACTATTTTTAATATATATCCCCTTTAAATGCAACACTGCTGCGGTAGATGGCTCTAGCAATACAAATGTAAAATAAAATTTGATGAAAAAGCAGCAGTTTTTCAGCTCTCAGCAAAAACAATTTCAAAAAAGGTGCCTGGCATGCCAACTGGCGCCTAGGCACAAAAAAGCATCAAAAAATGTGCCTTGGTGCACACACACAAATACCAGAGCGTCCACAACCTGATTCCAGTGGAAGGAGAATTCCAAAGGCAGAACTTTCTTATACAGAAAATTCAGACTTTCATGCTTCCCTTACACCATAGGGTAAATGTTTGTTGAGATACCAGTGTGAAAGTGGTTGTGTCACAATCTGGCAAAACACTTGCCAAAAGTTCAGCATTTTACCAGATTATGGATGGTCTGACTATACCAGCTGTTTTATCGACAAAAGCTGTTGTGTTGGCCAGAAATCAGCTGATCACGCGGCCAGTTGGTCTGGCAAGAGATTACCACCAGGCTTTTGGTAAGAAGAAGATGGCCAAGGGAACTGTCTTCAAGGAATGCAGGATTGTAGGCTGGGGAATCAATCTCTGCTTGTCACATTTGCCTCCATAGGTGTGTTTCTCACCATGTTTTTTATTTTGAAAATGGGAGAGCTCCTTCAAGGAGTGCCTGTGATACCCACTTCCGCAAAAAAAAGTCAATTTTTTTCCCTAAATTGAAGCCAAATTTTGAGTTTTCTGTGGTTTTACTTTGCCAGTTTTCTCTTCTGTTCTCCCTTTCACAAAGTAAGCAAGCCTTAACATCTCTCAATGGTCTTCACTCTGTCAAAATATTACAAGCAAATTTTACCACAGGGCATTGAAATGATGGCCCAAAGATGGCTCATTTCAAGTCAAAAGAGAGTTTTTTGAAAAGGCAAGGAAAGAGTGTCCACTCTCAACTATCCAAAAGTTCTTTTGTTCTTTCAATCAGACTCATTCCGCATACCAGTAAGTTTATCTCATCTGCTTCTTTAACCAAAACTTCAATTGACTTGTGTTTATTGCTAGACAGGGACTGACCCTAGCTGCAGTGGCCAAATCTGTCAAAAAGTACAAGTCACATTCTTGTGTCCCAAGAACCAAGTTTCAGAGAGCCAATCCTTCATGCAATTGATTGGTTTAACCTGTTGCTCTTTTTGTTTCATTTTTCTTCCTTGTTTTGTTTTTGATAGGCTCTTCAACATTTTGTTGATCAAGGCTGTAAGCAATTGGTACTCAATGAGTTTGGCCATCTGCTTTGATCTCCCTTTTTGTTTTGATTGTTCTCACTTTTTTTATAATCTTTTCAGTATGTTTTTGATCAATACTTATGAAATCAAGTCTTGTGATCTGCTCTAATTTCTTTTTGTTTCATTTCTATTCACAATGTGCAGAGCACAATCTTGTCTTTGATTGTGGTCAATCAAGATTGGCACACCAAGTGTGTTATGTAGGGCTTGTCTATGTATCTTAAGTACACATAGCCACTTGTGTAACACCATAAACCCTAGCTGTACAGGCCTTTATAAACCATGATCTGACTGGTCAGCGGTTTTAGGTTGTTTTTTGCTATGGAGTTGTGAGTACCATTTTCTGATTCCCCTACATTCCAATAGTCCATAAAACACTGTATTGTGGTGCATTATTGTATGCAGCAACCAAACATGCCGTGTGACATGCCCCAATGTTTTTGTGGGGAGCCACTCAGAGGGCTTTGGTGATAACAACTGTAGAATCTGTCTGTTGGTCTGGGAGTTATTTGCCATCTTCCTCACCATTGATGCCTCAAGCCATATGGTGTGGATGGTGTGGCTATGGGATGGAACAAAGAGGTTTGCTTGATCAGCTCCCCCTGGATTGATAGTATACAAACCTACCTAGGAGACAGTCTATGAGCTGTCAAATGGCTCATCTTAAGGTGGCCTGTCAATCTTGCTGCTTGGCCGCCGTGCTACTGATCATCTTGCAGAAGCTGTCCACCACCAAGCCAATCTTGCCATGCAGAAGTAATCTCTGCTTGACAAACAGTGGTATGGATTACCCTGTGGTTTACCATAACCCCCTCACATTCATATCTGTACCTCTACATAGTTTATTTTAACTTAACTGTCATTTTCTTGTATCCACACATCCACCCAGCTGAGTACTTGAGCCTGTGCTTTCTGTGGGGCTGAGTCTTTCATTATCACCCAAAAAAGGCCTGGGCAGGTGCTCTGCTTCCATGTACCAGGCTTAGGATCAACCAAAGGAGTCTGGCTTGTAAAGAATTGATGATCACATTCTCAAAATACCAGATGAATCTGGAGGAGACCATCAGAAGTGAAATCCAGGGTAAAGAATGGAAACCTGAGGGCACAAGTTTTGCGACTGTAGCTTCACTGCTAGTCTACAACAATGACAAGGACTAACCTGTACAAGAACACAACACACAAGAGAGCATTACCAATAAAAATAAATCAGAAAGATGCAACAAATCATAGAACAGAAGAAAGTTTCTACCTGTGAGCTTGAAGAAAATCAGGTTGAGTGCTTGTAATAAGGATGAGTTGAAGAGCAGACAAGTTAAGTTTTTTATCTTTTGAGAAGAAGAAGTAAATATTGATATCAGTTGAAAGTCAAGCTTAACAGAAAGCAAAATAGTAAGGACAATGCAAACAAGAATTGAATTTACTTACTGATTCTTTTTGACACAAAGAAAGAATCAGAAGTGGGAGAAACAAAAAAACAAAAGAACAGAAATAGTAGAGCAATCCAAACAATTTCAGTACCCCTTGCTTTGAATTGCAAAACCCCTCTTGTCACATCAGTTCTACCACTACTCTCACACTAGCTCAACCAATCTCTAACACCCAATAAAAACCACTTAGACCACTCCTAATACCTTGACAAAAATTGTAATGAATCTTTGACCATAAGATAAGATATTTACATATCTTGACATGGCTAAGAATAAGTCACTTTCTGGTTATATAGGAACTATAGTTTTGTTAAACATGAAATAAAATTCATAGACACCCAAGACAACCATCCTCCCTGAGTAGCATGGATACCTGGTACAACGTCAAACAACTACTCCCTAAAGTTACCCCACAACTTTGGACCCTCTTCTAGGTTAGTGCCGCCACTTAGGGACACAGGCTGTTGATTAATTTTTGTCCTTGTCCTTCATGCCTCACAAAAATTCAGATCTCAGCACTACCAATTTTTTTACCTCAGAGTTCTCAACCTAAGGCTTATATGTTGGCAGTGCAGGATTGAAGTGTGTTTTAATTTTACTCAGCAAGTTTTCTGAAAAAACAAAAATAACTACCCAGAGGCAAATCTATTCCCAATGAGATAAAATGAAAGAATCAATTACAATCTAGATATAAACACAACTATCTGAAATCCGTCATCAAATATCATACACTCAATAACTTTAGACCTTGAAATTTGTAAAATTCAGCAAAAAGATCAAATTGTTGCTTCATTTCCTGTGGAGCCTTCCCTGGCCAAAAAATCACGTTTCCTATCCCTGGAGGTGGTGCTTTATTTTGACGTTCAATCAAACACTTCAATACTGTTAAGCTTTTGATATCCAAGCTAAAGTGAGAAGCAACAAGTGCTTCTCCTTCCCCAATCTTTTGAGCTCCCCAAGTTAGATGGCTATACTCAGGCATCCATTCTTTTGTTGTTTTGTGTGGTAAGACTCGATCAGCTGTTTTAGCCAAATCTTTCAATCGTTTCTCAAACGTTTTGGAGAGTCGTGATCTAAGGATGGCGGCTCGAGTGTTTGATTCTACCCACACAGAATCATCCACATCAAATTGTAGGACCTGGTCCATGACACAGTTACCCTGCATGATTGCCTTCAACCCCTGCACCTTTTCTAGAATTTGATTGCCTGTGAACGTTTTCCAATTTACGTCTGAAGCAGATAATTCAAGATAACTACAAATTTTCAGCAGGACAGGAATTGATCCACCTTCTTTGGAGAAAGACACCAGCTCCAACTCCGTGAAAATCCTTTCGTGAGGTTGCATTGTGGCCATCAAATAAAGATTTGAAATCCGTGAATCAAGGTTTCGGCCAAAGAACAATTGACCGATACCCTGGGCGTCATTCTGATCAAGGGCCTCTAAACTCGGTCTGGCAGTTGCCTGATAATTGGAATCAACATCACAAAAAGTTGGCCACTCTTGCTCCACTTTCAAGAGTAGACAAGCTTCTTGTGCTTGTGGACTAAGTTTGGATTTATACATTTTCCAGTGCCTCAAGATCAACTTCTGTGAATATTGAACTTTTAGAGAGTTCGCCCTCCTGGCCATTTCAAGGGCATTTTGTGACTCTCCAGCTAAATCAGATATTGCTTCCCACCATTTGTCGCCGAAGACGCCTGGGAAGATGCCCATTGAAACCACGTCATCCTGTGCAAAAAGAATTTTCTGAAAATCTTTGTTGCTCAAGCTTATCTGCACGTCATTTTTGGAATTTTTGTATTGAAGGACATTGTAAATTATTGATTTTAAGGAAGTTTCACCACTTTCATCCTTCATAGATTCTTCTGATGTCGAGAGATCATTGCAGCGGGCTGGAACCTCGATGTTCTTTCCCATTTGAGCCGCACTGATAGACGCCACAGCTTTGGGCTTCTTTGACTCCTTTTTTCTTTTTAAGCGTTCTGACCGCTGGTGTATGTTGTTTTTCACTGCGACAGATTCCGCGGAGACAACTTGGGGAAAATCATCAAGGGTAGACTCTTCGGAGGAGGTTGTAGATGATCCAGTTTCTTGCATGTCGATGGTGCTTGTTTCTGGGATTACTGTCTCTTGCGCTTCTGAAGATGCGTGATCCTTCAGAGGTTCAAACGCACTGTCCCTCAACACAGCAAACTCTTTGGTATCCATTGGTAACTGTCTGTGCTGAGTCATCAATCCTTCTGACCTGTTCTGATGCTGAGATGAAGGCATATCTGACATGGTTGAAGATTTCTGTGCTCCTCTTTTCTTCTTTTTCACCCTTATCCAATTGCTTGACATGGTTTTTTTAGAATCTTGGATGATACTGTCTGGAACCCAAGGCGGGTGAATTCTGGTAACCGCAAAAGCATCCGAGGTTGATCAATATTTGCCATAAGTGTGCAACTTTCATAACCAGAGGAAATTAGCGCACTTGTGTCCCTCATTGGAAACAAATTGATTCGAATGTGAAAACTGTTGGTCCCCTTCACCCTTCAGGACATCGAGTTTGCTACCTCCTGTTTGATCAGAAACATCGTCTTGTTTCATTGTGATCCCCAAATGAATTCTCTTTGGGGATGATTGAGCTTCTTCCACGAGTTCATGAGCTGTCAAAGTTGACTTGGATACTCTCTGATTTGCATGTGATCTTTCAGAACTCGATGTTTTAGATGAAGTTCGTGCGGTGTCGGCTACGCATGCTCCTAGTTTAGAGTTTGACTCATTCGTCGATTCCATGCCTGTCAACGCGATGCTTTTATGACTAGCCCTGGAGGAAATCGGATTTCTGAATATGTTGCATCGAAAATAGGCGAAGAAAGATTAGTATCAGAGTATTGAACAGCCAGACATCAATTTGAAAGGCTACTGACAAACTCTGCTGAATGGGTAACGGAGCTGTCTTTGCTGCATGCTTCCCAAGTTCTTGATCCTTGTACGGTGGCTTTCCTTTACGATCATTCACAGCAGAGAGACTACTCCAAAAAACATCAGATACTAAAAGGTATCATATTTAGCTTGAACAACTTACCTGGCACCTGTATCGCTGGGGGCTTCCCCACTAGATGTGTTTGGACATATGTCATCAGAACCTGTGATTTTGGTCTGTTGATGTTCAGTATCTTGTGAATACAACAACTTCCGAATCGCCGGTGGCCCAAAGACTTCGACGGTGGCGTCTGCCTTTGCATCAAGAGTATCATCTTCTTTTAAGTTGGATGAAGCTTCCAATTCTGGAGTTTTTTCTTTTGTTCTGTGAAAATTATGTCTTAAGAATGTGTGGCTCTAAGTGGCAGTTAACTCTGATTGGAAATCAAACTCACTCCGTTTTTTCGGTTTTACTCGGAGGTTCTTCCTTTTTCACTTGAACCTCGTGTGCTGACGCAATGTATTTAGCCTCAGGCTTGTCTTTTTTGACGCTGAAAATTGCGTACATGAGGTCAAAAGTTGATCAGCATTATTCAAAGGCTCTATAGTCTTGGAATGTCTTACAAGGGTGGGGCATGGAGACTCCGCTGAGCCCAGTTTGATGATACTGTGTCATGAGTAGGCCGCCCATGGACATTATATTGTTGTAGGTCTGGTGTTTGTGGATGTATAGCTGGGTGCATTTCATGACTGAGATGGCTTCCAGGCCAAATTCCTGAGGGCTCCCAAGGCGCTTGAACCGTAAGGGTATGGAAATTCACATAGCCCTGACCAAGCTTCAACCATTCTGCTGCATCGTAATAGTTTGAAAAAAATGGAAGCCAACCCTCAGGCTCCGGGAGTGGTGCAGTCGAGGCATAATGGATATGTCCTTCTGGGATCGCGGAGAGTGGGCCTTTACTGGGGTGTGTATATGGGTATCGGAAAGGCCTACGACGTGGGCGCCTCAAGCCATCTTGTTTCCGATTTGCATGTCTTTGTGGATATCCTGTGAAAGGGGAGGGACCCAGCACACCGTCCCTTTCGTATGACTTGGACACCTTCACTTTGAACTGATCAGAATTCTTGCCTGAAATTCCACGCTGACTTCCCTGGAGGTTATCAGAAGAGGATGTTTGAGTATCGCGGATCTCATTCGATGACGCCGACAGGAGTTCCCCAGATTCCGTTCGACTCTTCAGATCACGGCGAGAATCTGCTTCGAATTCATCGAGAGAAGTCTCGATTTCTGGGAACATATCGAGATGGTTTGGTGCAGGAAGCTCATGGTTGAGAGTGTGGTCACCAATTGACATTTTTCCTGAAAGAAGATCGCCGCCCAACATAGGCTCGACGCGTGTCGCGATGATACTGTGATGTAGAAGAAAACCCCAAAAGAAACGTATCATGATAGAAAAAATATAATCTCAAGTCTATAAATTGCAAGAACACCCTAATGAAGGAAATACTTTGAGACTACATATATCGCAACTCTTGGCTGGTTTATATACTCCAGGATTGATGCAAAGCGAAATAACAATGTTTTGGTTTTTGTCTAACGGCTGTGGACTCGAGCAGGACCAGAAATGTCAGTAGCTCTGTGAATTGAAGAAGATCTTATATCGGCAGCGCTTCCCCCATAAATCCACGTCTGATATCATGCTATGCCTCTGTTTCATGATCGGCAAGTGTCACCGCCATTTACTTCATAGTTCCCCGCAAGCCACCGGCCATACAAATTTTGACGTGTTGTGATCAACGTACCTGGTCGATGTTATATCAAGCTAATATTGATTCCCAAAAACCAGTAAAAAAGGTTGATCATTCCTGACCATATAGGATATATATATTTCACTTTTCTACATGTCTATATCTAACCTTTCCAGGGATAAAAATCTTCTGGTGTCTATCATGATTTATAGCAAGATCCCATCATAGAAATCTGCCGTGGCTCTCTTTGATTTCAGTGGTGCTCTTGGTTTACGTATTTGTTGCGCAGTTGACAATGTGTCACATGACTCATATAACCCACAACCCTTCCCGCTGTTTGAAGTTGGAGCTTTTCCCAATGCCATTCTGAAAGTCGTTCAAACTCTGAGCCACGTTCAGAGGGATTTGATAAACTTCTTCCAAAGTGGGGAACTAAGTCTGACCTGATCAACATAAGCTCTCCCGGTCAGTGGACCGACCAAATCACATCACAAACTCACTGCGCCGGCAGAATGAAGACCATCATCCATTCGTCGCCCAGATGGTAGGTCAGCTACGCAGCCGCAATATATACGCCGAAACACGGATGAGATGCCTTGACCACATCGGCAATAGAGCTTCCCTTTGATGTTGCCACTTGCCGCTTCGAGATTTGAAGTTATACCTGGTACAGTCGTCTCTGACAAAACCCATCTGTGCCACCCTAACCCTTCCCGCTGTTTGAAGTTGAAAGCTTTTACAAATGCCGTTCTAAAAATCGTCGAAACTCCAAGCGGGGAACCGAGTCTGAACTGATACTTAAGCTTTCCTGGCCAGTGAAAAGTGAGTGGTGCCTGTTCCGGCCAAATCACATTACACAGTCACTGTGCCGGCAGAATGAAGACCATCCTCCATTCGTCACTCAGATGGTAGGTCAGCTACGCAGCCGCAATACGCTAAAACCCGGTGGGGATGCCTTTACACTTCGGCAGTAGAGCTTCCCTTTGATCTTCCAACTTGCCGCTTCGGGAAGCCCATCAACGCTGACATGCTGCAGCGGAATACATACTCTCTTGGTTTCTAGCAATTCATAGAGTTTAACACCGGTGAGCTTAAATCTGTGTCCGCCGTCCGAGGAAGCTATGTATGAAGGTTTTAAGCCGGTCACGACAAAAATGGCTATAGTTATAATCATTATCAGTGCTGTGGACAAGTGTCTTTGAACAACATGGCCGCGCAGATCGCTGCGGTACCCGTTGCCGGGAACTTAAGAAATCCTGACACGGGCTAACAATTGAAAGACAAGAAGGACGAAAGGAAACTAAACTCCGAGCTGTACGGCTATAGAGACTCATGCTGTTCGGATTGAATCGATATAACAATGATAAAACATGGAAACAAGTCTTCTAGTATGTACTATGTACACCCCTTCTTATTTCTGAGCAATTTGATACATACAAAGAATAGGATCCACGCAAAGAAAAGTTGAAAGAGCTACATACACAGAAACTTATTGCAAGGGTAAGTCCAGGAAGAAGAAGCTAAGTGGACACGAACAATGTGCACGCATCTCGAAAAGAAAACAAAATATATATCTCATCTCTCTTCGCCGCCTCCCTTAACCTCCGCTAAAGACTGACTCGGGCTTCCAAAAGGCCCGTCAAAGGACACCGTATTTGCACAAAATCAACCTCTAGATATCTACAGCTCTTCACTTTACCTCAATGTGGGTTTCTTTTTCCATCCCGGTACTTGGGAGGCGGTTTGTTTGTTCATTCGCTTCAGACAAGAGATACATGGAAAAATGGAATCATGACCGTCTGGTTGTGTTTTGAATAAATCTTCAGCCTTGAACTCAATGAATCCAACATCAATCCACTCCAGGTGTGGAGATGAGTAGTCAATGATCATTCATCTTTTTTTTGGCTTGTCAAGAACTCTCTAACGTCCCATCTTGTGCATGCCATAATCATGATTAAAAGTTACAAATTAATTTCATTTCAATTCAGGCACAAGCCATCTTCTCATTCTGATCAGTACCCCCCCAAAAAATGACAACTATATTAATCAAGTGAAGTGAGCAAGCTCTTTTAATTCTTCACCAAACCAAAAAGATTCATTACAACTCCAACAAACCACATCATCATCTTTAAGATAAACAAAAACAACCAAACCAATCCCTTTTTTTCGTTTCTTGAATCTTTCTAATCTGATTCATTTCTTGAGTTTTCTTATTCTTGACTCTTTTCAATACATCTCATACCTATCACATTATTTTATATCTACAAAGTCATGAGCCACTTCACTTCAATCCCGGAATCAAAGAAAAGATCTTCTCCAGAAGAGGTACGTTCATACACGTTCATCTCATGATCCTCTTGAGAACCTATTATTGACATTTTGCACTTTATAAACATAGAATGAATCTTCAGAATTTAGTGTTGAATCGGAGGCGGGATGGACTTCGTCATCAAAGCGACTCAAGTTCGACACTCACCAGACCACATCAAATACCTCAACAAGAGATTCCATAGCTTTCGCAATTCAACAAATTGACTGGTCTCAATGGCATAATGGTAGTACAATCCCAGATCCGATTCCTGAACCTCAAGACCAGCACTCAACCTCATCAGCCGCACAACTTTTCTTAGAAACCTTTTGGGAAGGAGTGATCATACCTCAAGAAGAGCCACAACCGATCAAAAGGATGACACTACAAGAAATTCAAGAAGAAGCAGAAGATTTAGCTATAATCGAGATGTCAGTTCCAGATATAATTATGTGTTTTCCAAACGATTCTATCTTTCAGATTTGTAAAAGACAAGAAAGAGCCATGGAACGACAATCTAGACCTAAAGTTAAACCAACTGTGATTCATCGAACAAAATCTTGGTATGAGAGACCGGGTGCCACGTTGGGAACGATCTTTGGGGATCTTGCTTATATGATTTGTCACAATATACAAACCCCACAAACACATTCAATCCCAATCTTGATGGTCACTAGTCCGGATGGTACGCAGGAACTTTTACTCGAGGACTTCCGGTAGATTGAGGTTACTCCTTGGAGGTCACAACCCCATTTAAGTGTTCGGATTTCATTTTGGTTTGGGTGGTCGATGTTATGTACATTTAGCTACAATCATATAGTGGCTGAATGGGATCGGTAGTGTGGTAATCGTTATTGAAAATAATTTCTGTACCTTTAGTTGTACAATCAGTTCACCACCTCTTTGTTTTTTCTCAAAAATTATTCAAGTCATCTTATCTATTTTGGTAGTGTTTTACTTTCATTCAAATCTTATTTAAGAATCTGATTCTGATCATCTTGAGTTGTACAAGTATATTTATGCAAACGACCTTTCAAATCAATGAAATTCATTGATGATACAAATAGTCAAGTAAACCTAAACTTGTAAAAATATCATGAACCTCATGATCAATTCAAAACAGACATTTTCTTTGATCACAAATCACCAATCCACAGTCCTGCAATACATCACAATAATCTTTAAGAAAAATCCATTTTGCTTTACAAAATACTTGTACCAAACCCTTAATAAGTAAAAGAAAAAACAACCAAAAGAATCACAAATACCAAAACCTTACAAACCAAAGAATACATTTATATATGCTTCATGATTAAAACGATGACCAAAGTTATACCGTCAACACTTCACCAATAAAAAAACCAACCAAACAAAAAACAAAAAACCCAATCAAATCAACTTTAAAGAATCCAATCCAATCCAACCAAAATCCTCAATTACAAAACAAATCAATATAATTATCTTCATTCTTTCCACCCGTTTCACTTGATCTGATCCCATCTCGATCAATTTCTTCATCAGATTGTAATAAATAAGGTTTCCAAGATTGTAACCAAGCATCAGGTGAAACCATAAAATACCTTGCCACTGATAAACAAAAAAACAATGAAGAAAACATGGTTAGTCTTGGAACTGATGATCAAATCATCTTACCTCACTACATAAAACTTACTGGCTCTTCTGAATCTAGCTTTGTAGAGAGATGGTGTAATGATTGTAGGAGCTTCCTTACTAGAACCTCCAAGTTCTTTCACAAGAGTCTCGAGTCTAATAAATCACAACACAACAAGAAAATAGAATCAGACATCACTTTTCAAACCAGCTTAAGAATCCATTGAAGAATCAAACCTTTTATCCCAAGAATAAGTCCGAAGATAATCTAAAAAATTCAATACATCAACAAATCAACTTTTTTCTTCAAAATCATTAAACCATTCCCTAAACTCATTTCATCACTTACCAATGATTCCAACATACAATTCTTGAGATTCTTGATCGATCCCAATGGCCAATGAATAATCCATAACATTATTACTAGCCAAGAATAAAGTATCATTATGTAAACTAGCTTGTAACCTTAACAACGAATCTTTATGTACAAAGATCGGATTGGTACGAGTCACTGTTGGATCCCATTAATTAGTTTTGACACATTTTCCTTCATCAGATCCTCTTTTGTCAATTGATATAACTTGAAATCAATCACTCACTTTCACAAAAATTTCCATCTAACAATACCTCATTCGGTCTTCCAGTCACATGTACAGTCCGATTCCGAGTCAATCCTTTAAGATCATAAATATGTAAATCAGATTTCGCAAGCCAAAGGTTTTCAATCACTTGTACTTGTAATCTTCCTTTCCTATTGGTAGTTTTATTCAAAAATGAGATTTGAAAGATCCCCAACATCTTTGCTAAAGCAATCGGACGCTAATCGATTTAAATTCGTCAGCTTTTGATTTTTTTCTCATATATTTGGGTCATACAAGTCTTAGAGACTCACTTTATCCCGACTCGCAGATGCCAAGTATTCAAAATAAGCAGGAGCAAACTTGGTCAGAGCCTCTAACTCAGTCTAAAAAGAAATCGTTTTTCAAATCAATTCCTCACTTCCTATGAATGAATACGAAAACCTACTCACTTTAGAGATCCCTTTGATAAGGTATCGCCCGTCTACAAATAAGGCAAAGTGTCAAAACAATAGTTAGGAAAAGATTCACACGACTACTCAAGGAGACTACTAACCTTTCGTTCTCAGAAACGTCTGACCAGACTTTCCACCAGACGCGTCCCACTTATGACAACGAGAAAGCGACTCAAAGATATCTTTACATCCTAGTGTCTTTCTCAGTGCTTCAAATTGCTACCAATCATAATCTCAAAGCTCAGTGAAGTAATTCAAGTCCGAGCAATTACAAGTAAGAAAGGTACACTTACATGCATAAAGAACACCTTACAAGTCACTGTACAAGGCGAGACATCAAATCCTACAAAATTAACCTTGATCAGTTTTAGATTCTCAATTCTCAAAGCGTATATATAAATAATCACAAAGGACTAACGAAATTGCATAGGCTTATTACTATTCGGTGGCATCTTCAATGCTTCATCCATATCTGTATCATGTGGTGCGAAATCTATCATACCCCAAGTCGAATCTGGATCTGGTCCTCGGAACATCACATCTTCCGGCATAAAGATCTCCGAACGTTCAATCACTCGTGGTTCGGTATCTTTCAATGTGTCTGAATACAGTTTTGAACTACCAAAGAGAAACAGATGAGGACCTAAGCTTATGGTATGTTAGTTGATACAGAAAAAAAAGACAAACGCAAGCGTATAAGCAATAATCGAACTTGGTTCATCTTCTCTAATCAACACTGGGTTTTCTGCAGACTGATGCTCAGTAGGTAATCTGTATCAAACATCCAAATCAGTTATCACCATCATCTACAAATCATCTTCAAAATCACTTACTGAGGATACTCCAAAGTCAAAAACTCAGCACCACGATAAGACCAAAGACTCGAAAGAGTTTTAATAATCGAATGTCGACCAGCTTCACCAGAACTCATTTCATTATCTGAGAATTGAGATAAACCTGAAGGTGGAAGTCGAAAAGAATGAGGTACAAATGAAGGTGAACATGGTGTAGTTTGAGCAATCATCGGTCGATCAGCTCGATTCAAGATCATGGATGAATCGGCAAATTGTGACGTTTCACACTCCTCTACACCAGGTGAAGTTTCGAGTGGGTGTACCTCATCACTTGTTCTGTCAGTAAAATCGCTTGCCAAGGGTGAGGGTACATGTGCAAGGTTCGTTCCACTCGGATCTGGTGCTTCAGGACCATAGACTTCTGGAGTGACTGTGATGAAAAATGAAATTAGTGACTGTTTCACAGGAGCAGATATCATTGCAAAAACACTTACCATCGCCTTCATCATCAGCATCATGTTCAGCTGGGTTCACATTACTCTCATCTAAATCAGAATCAGGGTCTTCATGAACTGCAGCTGTAAGACTACTAAAGGCATGTACCGATGATTTCGCATGAGCAATCGGTCTAGGTCGACTTCGATGATTGATTCCATGCTTCTGTCTATCAGCCTCACGAGACATACGATCGAATTGTCGAGTGATAGTAGAAACTTTACTATTCGGTTTGGGATTGTGACCGTTATTACGACGACTGAGATAAGTCGATGAGATCGGAAGACCTGAGTCTGGTCGATTCCTATGAGAATTCGTAGGTTTATTAAGCCGAGGTGCTAATCGTAATGGACCTTCAACCAACTGATCACCACGTAAGCCGGTCGATGGTGTCTTGGGATGGGGTCCTAGTTTTGAGGAAAGTTGATTAGAATTGTTAGATCGTGCATGATGGCGAGGTGCTAATTTGATGATTGAATTGTTACGGTTTGAACCTTCTTCGACCGAATCAGCAGCATGTTTCCTTGATGAAAAATTGGTATCCTCGAGAGACTTTTGAATCTGTCCAACTGGACGCTTACCACGCGCTACTTGTGAAGTAGAGCGAACAATTTCACTCTTACCTCTTCTGAACAAAGGTCGTGTTGGGGGTCCAGACACTTTTAAACCCTTTTCATTCGATCGAGTCTTAGGTATTTCAGATTCAACATTAATCTCTTCCGATGTGACAGGTAAGGTCAATCGTAACTCTTTCACTCCAGGTCTTTCAAACCTTTGTACCAAATTTGCCACTCCATTTTTGCTCGGACCAACCTCTAGTATTCTTCGACCTCGAATGGTTAACCTCTTAGAACTTGCTAGAGATTCCGCTTCACTATGATTGGTGGTATCCGTATCTGAGGGGTCCTGAGGATTCGAGTGGCGATCTCCAAGAGCAGGTTTCAAAACCAGAGATTCTCGATCGCGAGCGTTGATGATCGTTGCGTCACTTTTGAAGCCGTCTTCACAGTCAACCGTTAAATCACTTCCCGGACGCCGATTCATGACAACGCGTGCCTTTGGAGTGGCTTTGGGGGAAGGTTCGGTGACTGATTTGGCTGGTGAAGAGATAACGAACTGGACACTAGTTGGGGAAACAAATGAGCTAAGGGCTTGGCTACTTTCGACGGTGGGTGTTTCAGGTGAATCCTTTGTGAGAGCTTTAGTAGCCTCAACGTCCGTGCCGAGTTCCTTTGAGGTGGAATTGGATGACGATACGATGGCCGAGTCAGCTTCAACTTTCTTTCGCAATGCGCTGTCGATTTCCGAGATATCCTGAGTCGGATCTTTTGCTTCATTTAATTTGTCTGTCGGACTCCCTTTTGGCTCGATCGTACCGGATTGTTCAGGTGAGGTTGTGTTAATCGAAGAAGACTCGCTTTCAAGGTTTGCCGTACCTTTAGATTTCAAAAGTGATAAGTCAACCCGACCTTCAGGTAATCCCAACGTAGGCATAGAAGTAGGTAAAGCAAATGCCAGCGCACTAGCCATATTCTTTAAGGTAGGAGACGGAAAGGCTTTTTTGAAACTGACTGTATGTGAAGTCTTTCTACCAGCATGATCAGAGTCAACTTCGGATTGTGAGGTATAATTATGTCTATGAGCGTTAAAGGCTGGAAGCTGTTGGATACGTGAGAATAATCGATCCGGTGATCCTGGCATCACATTTTGATCAACAAACAATTTCCTTAATTGAACACTTGTCAACCTTCGTGCATCTTTACCATCTCCTGCCATAAACTTTGATTCAAATGAAGCAAAGAGATGATCCCATTCGACTGCTTTATCTACCAACGTCTTTCTCACCGTATTGATTTTAACCCCATTGGTACCCACACAAGCTAGATGAACCTCGTCCAATTGAAGCTGTATCAACTGAGCATCCAATTCGACTTTTCTCATCAACTCTCGCATCGCTTCTTCAGAGGCATCTTGCTTATCGATCGTCACTACATCATAGTTAAAACCATTGATCCGATTGCGTACCGATTGGAAAAAGGCCTCAGATCGTTTGGATATGGTGGAATATTCTTCTGTTAATACTTTGAATTGAGCTTCGGTATCTGCAAGCAAACACATGGAAGGTGTGATCGCTTCGTAGACATTGATCCGCTGTACGCTAAAATCGATCCGAAACCCGCGGTAAAAGAACATCCGAGTGTGATCGAGATGAAGATCATGGGTGCATGGCAATCTCAAGCCAGTTGATCTGTGAGTAACCACTTCTGCATGTATACCTTGGCTGTAAAAGCACAGTTCGAGATACTTTCCAAAACTCAATCTCCAACTATCATCTGACATCTCCGTCTTCCTCGTATGGCCATCACACTGAGGACAATAACCTTGCATGAGAATCAAATCTTCATTCCCAGCTTCCAAAGTCGGATCAAGACTACCATCAGAATGAATCTCGTCAAGCGGCGTAGAGCTTGTTGATGATGGCGTAGGTGTACCCTCAGAGGCTTGCGGATGATGAATTCGAAGTGATGCCTTCAGCCGTCTGTGGATGAATTCGGTTTGATGAAAGCTCTTTAATTGACCACATCCTTTGGTTGGACAAAGTTCTCCACGAGACGCAACGACCATTTGAATCATTTGTCCAACCGATTGATCGCCAGGCGAGTAATACGAGAAGGCTCTTAACAATGGTCCTTGACATGTATATGCAGCCAACCCTGAAGTGGGATTCATACAGACTACAGCCTCTTGTACAATGATCTTTTGATGATCAGCTGGATGAAAGCTCTCAGATCGGTGTGTGGATAGGTACCGAGATGCGACCAATTTCGATTGTGCTAGTTGGCGTCCCAAGTCGACCAATTGCAAAGCTCGAGTATATTCATCTGACACCACAGAGATCCTCGTTCGTAAGGAACTCTCAGCGGGGGTGAATGTTTGACTGACATCGCCCGATTGTGTTGATGTGTTGACCTGCACAGTATGAGGAGCCGTACTAGAGCTTTGTGGGTCGGTTTCCAAATCAATCTTCTCATCCATCCGATCTAATACGATGGACGGAGGCTTCTTAACCCCTTCGCGCAAAAGATTAAACTGTCGAGCAAGATCTCGCAATTTGACCAAGACAACCGGAGGTGCCAGCTTCACATCAGGAGAGCCAGATAGAATCATACACTCATAAGGTCGTAAGACATCTTCGATTTGACGAACCAAGTCAGAGGTCGAAGCAGAGCCAGCAGATACGTTTGGTTTTTCTGGTGACCCCGGTTTTGAGGCTGGAGGCTTGGTCTGCATCAATTGCCGCCTAGCACGCCGAAACGAAGTCAGAATGATTTGAACTTCTTTATCGTCCAAGTTGAGCAACTGTGATTTATGAACCTCTGATATTGGTGTCATCATCGCGCCCTCATCTCTAAGGAATTGAGTTTCAAGTCTGATTGAATAACTAATTCTGACCATCATCCTCATCAAAGCTTTTATTTTCAATAGTAATCTATGATTACCTCCTCTAAGCAATAAAGTACCACCAAGCTCTGGTTTACATCCTTCTAATCTGACAAAAGATTTTCTGTTGCCAGGTATCAATCGATGATCGAGAGTCTGAACATGAAATACATCACATTGACCTACTTTCAAATTCAATAGCTTGTCTAAAGATGAGATCACAAGTGTTTCAGTAGAGTGAGCGATGGCTTGAAGGACGCGCGGTTTGACATGTCTGATGACGGATACACCCGCTTGTACCAAGTATTCGATGGCTAAACCAGAAACGTTGCCTTCCACTAGTACGACATCCGGGCGTAAAGAAGCCAGGCGATTGACAAGAGTCTTCAAGTACTGCTTTTCTTGTCGGATCAAGGGTTCTAGTTTACTATAACCATCTACACGTTGGAATTCGAGTGGAATACTGATCGCCAACACTCGAGGGTTAATACAATCTACGCGCATCTTCTTATGTACCACATTCTTAGTGAACACGACCCCATGAACATATTCACTATCCTGAGGCTGGCCACCCGGAATTTTCTTGATTTTGATGAGTTGATGAATATCCGCAGCTTCGCCTTCAGCTTGATCAGGTCGAGGTGGATCTGAGATCACCTTGATCAACAGTTTGGTCAATTCGCTTTCCCAGACCAGCGCTTTGACTACTTTGTCACGGTGGAGTGATTGTCTGATCATCGACCTCAAATGTGCCAATGAAGCAGGCGAAAAACATGGCTCGATCAAATCATCCATATAGGCTTGTCCAGGAGGAGGAGAAACCTAAAGAGAAGCCGGTCGGGAGAGAATATTGAAAAGTTAGAAACTGATTAAATTGAGATCCTGAGGGTGCAGAAGCTGACACATACCCAGGGAGGCCATGTGAGTAGAGAGTCTATATACCCGTCGGGTTGTGAGTTGATAGCTTCACCATCAAATGGGCCTACTATCTCGTTCGCCTGTAGAGCAGGTAGTGTAGGGTGCTCAAACGGATCGAATTTCAGATCAGGAACTAATAAGTTCAATTCACCAATCCCTTTGCTGTGCTCGAACCATGGAAATCGTTCCGTTGAGGTCCGACGAGTATCGCGTGAATTCCTCAATGTGCTGGGCGTAGGCGTGACAAGTCTTTGACTGTGCTTAGTGACCTTCATATCTAATGGTTTGTCTTCATCATTGAGACCCTTTCGGAATGGCGCCGTCAACGATGGTATGTTGGAATTTTCTATGCGGCGAGATGGCCTAGAAGCAATAGTGAGAGTATTTGATGAAGCATGTCGAAATTTCGGTCTAAGCAATGATGTGTGAGCAGGTTCGACCTCTTTGGATGTTTCACTCGTACTCATACCGGCACGATTGTCGGGTCTTGAACGGCTACTTGAGCGGTGCGAGCTACGCCTTGTGGATTGCGATAAACCTGATTGGACAGACGACTTGGCTTGTTCTCGAGATCTCGAGGCGGTGGTGGAAGTTTTGTGACTGCTTTGTGCTGCTTGAGATCGAGAACCGAATATGTTGAAACTTGACCCCGCTTCGGTCGTAGTGGCCTATTGCAGTCATCAATTGTTTTTCGTTCAAGATATGCCACATCGAGCATGATCAGTTCATTACGGTTCATGATATGTATTGAATAAGGGATAACTCATTGACTAACATTTTCGTCTTCAGCCTCCATGACTCGCCACGATGGCTCAGGCAAGGGCTCCAACTTGGCTAAACAGATATTACAGACTCGAATGTAACCAGTAGAAGCAAATCGTTGACCCGAGACCAGATTGGAAGCGCAACGAGAGCAAAAGATAAAGCCGCATATCCTACAATGATGTTTCCGACGCCAAGAAGTGAAGGTCACTGCACAATCGTAACATTCCTTGGCATCTTTATCCGGCATCCAATACTCTTTACTAAGTCCCTGTTCCTTAAGATAGAGATCAAGACGCAGAATGCTTCAAAGAAGTCAAAAAGCGGTTTCCCCAGTGAAGTGATTGATAAAAGGAGATGAGCAGTGTTAAGTCAAGGTGCATACCTCTGCTTGAATCCTATCCATCAACTGATAATGACCATTGGATTGAGATGTCTCATCCCCATTCATTCCAGCACCTTTCCACGAGCTTGGTGCAATAGACGAGCTGAGTACACTACCTATATCATCTGCGACTGTCTCTCTGGCCAGTGGAAAGCCAGGAATCTGAGAGAAAGTAGGTACGTTTGAGAGTCCTTGTGATCCTGGATTGTTGGGAGTTGGAGACATTCCATTTCGCATGATAGCTTCAGAATTCATTGAGAATGTGTTTGAATGATTATGATGTGGAAATAGTAATGGAGCCCTCGGTGATTCAGGTGTAAATGACAAAGGTCCTAGAGAATTCGAACTAGAGAGATGACTATGAGAATGGATCATGTAAGAATTCGAGGGACTCTGACGGATTGGAGAACCGGAACTGTTGATGATAGTAGGATGATTGATGCTAACAATCGAAGGCCGTGGTGATCTAGAATGATAAATAGGTTCTTCAGTTGATCTTCCAGGAGTAGATGAATTCCAATTCCTAGATCTCGTAAAAGATGAAGTAGTAAGATCATGATCGAAAGAAGATGAAGTGGTAATCTGAGATGGTGAAGAAGTTGGTTTTCTAGATTCGATTGAATGATTTGAAGTATTTAAAGGTGCCCAAACTGATGCCCCGATGGCAGATTTGAATCTATCGAGTAAAGTTTTTGGATTTGAATGTGAATCAGGTAAATCGACTTGAAGGAGATGATCTGATATGATTTGAGATTGATTTAGATTTGATTTAGATTGATTGAATGAATTGATAGTTTCAGGAAATGAGAAATATGAGAATCTAGAGTATTGTTCATTTGTTGGTTGTTCATGTTGATGAGATGAGCTCATATGGAGATTTGATGATTTCTTCTTTTGATTTCCTTCGCACTCACTCTTGGTCTTTAGTCTTTCTCGTGGTGATTGATTGATGATTTGAGACTTCTTGATACAAATCGATTCAGCTTGGAGTCGATAATCAGAATCAGATTCACTTTCGATCAATTCACAACCAAAGCATCTGTGACTGTGTAGAGCTTTGGCCTGGCATGCACTTCAGCGTGCATTCAGGACTGCGCGACCTGCCTGCACTTCACGCCCTGAATTTCCCCCGGTGATCGATCGAAGTTGACCCAAATCAGTTCAAGATCTGAACAATTTATCATGAATAAATTGATAGCATTCTTGAAAAATTGGTATTTAGAGGCTAGATAATTATTCGGATTGACTTCTGAGTCTTTCAAACCGAAACTTAACTTCTCCAACGACGATCACTCAATTAATTTATTGTGTTCTGGGTAACTTGATGATCTAAGGATCAATTCAGATGTAATTCCAACTCGTTTAGAAGCTGCTTCAGATGCAGTTAAGACCATCTTTTGCTAAAAACCAAATTCGTAGTTTGACTGAACTAAAATCAACAAACTATGGGTTTTTGATTATTTTGATTAGAAATCCAGAAAGGAAGTGTGGGCTTAAAAAAACTGATTGGTTTACTCAACTTTGATTGAATTCGAAAAATGCACGATTCACGTGTCATCAAAAACAGTCAAATCACATGGAATTCCAGACTTACAATCAGGTTTAAGTGTATTTACCAAGGTTTAGCAAGTAAAAAATAGACAAGAACAGAAACTTTTTAGCCCCAAGTAGAGGAGAAGATCTTGAGTAAGTGTTTTCCTAGATGGATTGGATTGGTTCATTGAGATGAGTGTGAATATTTTTTCGTTTTTATAGCATGAATGATGCCGATCAACAGGAAGAAAGAGTCAGATAATTAGTTGAAGATAAAGCAATTGCTAAATCAATTGAAACAGGTATGAAGAAACCATGATTCTGAGTATGGCGCATAGTCTTTGTTTTTTTGGGGTGAAATATTTGGCATTCTTTGTGTGTATGTTTTTCGGTTAAGATGTATTGAGGAAGTTGGGTTTGAAAGTGGTGATGAAGATGTAATGTTTTGAAACCTTTTGGAAAAAATAGCAAGGAACAAGACATTCAAGCATATATCAATTATGTGGTAAGCATTCAAGATATTTCCATCATTTTGATTAACAAATTCTTTACGTGGGCCCGGGGTATCTTTATTTACTTTTTGAGAAGGGGGCTCTGGAGTTTTTTTTTATATTCAAGGATACAAATTGATATTAATTGGTTTGCGTGAAGCATTAGGATCATTTGAAAATTTCATAACGTATCAACTCCATGCCAAGTTGACCTTTTCTTGTACCCTCTTTGTCGAGGGTTAAAAGCTTTAAAAATATCAACAAAATCAAAAGATTGTGAGGATAATATCATCCCTTTGGGATTACAAAATGATACGATCAAACTTCACTGCAATGCTCGTTGTCAAAGGAATCCTATTGAAACGAATTTTTTTTCGCATTGCCAGAGCAAACCTCGAGATGCAAGTTTGACGTGTCAGGATCAGGCACTGAGTAAACCGTTTATCAATTCCTTGCCGCGTGTTCAATATGGGTCATTTGAGTATCTTCGATCTTAGAGATGGAATTGTAATTATTGTTACAAGATTCTACTTTTCAAGGGATTTCAAGCCATCTCCTTCAACCGTCTTATAAAGACATCCATCCATTGTGACGATAATCAGGAACCTGGATCATGTGGCATATCTTGGGGATTTCGATGTCGACCATCAACTTTTTGTCAGAATTTGGGGTATAAGAAATGACCTCTGTCGGACGAATTGTTCACTTTCTTCTTCTTCCTTAGACATCTATTGCCACTAACCTTTACCGCACATTTCTTGATTATCATTCTTGGTTTTTACTTATCAACACACCAAACTCAAACCAATTCTCTCTCAACTATGTTTCTTCAAGAAGCCTCTCGAAAGCGCAGCGCTGCTCATGTTGAGGTAAATAATATTATATTCAACCTCAGGCTTTCGATCCCACTAACGTTCTCGCAACTTTTCATTCCGTTGCTTCTAGGACCCGATTCACGTTCCTAATGCGGCTTCTGGGGTTTACATCAAGCGCCCGCGAATTTCAAGACCCAGAGTCCAACCTCAAGCATTGATGTATAACCAACCACAAATGTTGGTATATACCAATGCGGGAATGGCGAGCAGTTCGCAACATCTTGCGGTGGATACCTTCGCTGGCAGACGGAGCGTGTTGGTCCAAACTCCCTATCCAAACTTCAACGTATGTGATCTTTTTCCCTCATCCTATGAGATCATAATCTAATCTGTTTTGCTCCATCTATCTCGTGATATCTTCTCGACTTCAATGTTTCGTTCAACTTTTCATTCCATCGACTATAGAACTCGGGTTACGATCCCAATGCGACCTCCAGGGCTTATGTCCAGCGTGCAAGAATGGGACCGCCTCAACCTCGACAGCTGATATATACTCAGCCTCAACCGTTGGTATATACCAACAGAGGGGTGATGGCGGGGTTCCAATATCTGCCCCCCGCTATGCATGCTGGTATTGGGAGAGAGGTGGTACCTAGGCCATGTCCGAATGTCAATGTATGCAGCCAATCTTTGGAATGTTTCTCGTCAGTCTCTTGGATCAGAATCTAATCGATTTTTCTCAATTCATTCCATGTTTACAAACCATTAGGCACAAAGGACATATGCAGAAGTCGAGGCATTCAAGTTGAAGCTGGCATTGGAGTTGTTGATGGGACCTACACCTATGACTCCTAACATGACGCACAGAAGTCAACTTAGTCCGACTTCATCTATCTCTTCCGTACCACTGCCAGTCACGCCATCTCCAACCAGACCACCGAATCAGACAGCTTTGTCACAAAGGGGATCAAACTTCTCATGGGGGTATCATGGAGCAACCCCATTGTCACATGTCACTGGGCCAGATACAACTCAGTACTGGTTGGCAAATGTTTCTGGAGCAAACAGGGAGGGAATGAGGTATCAACAACCATTCCAAGCACCAACTCGTCAGGTACTGGTCACTAGACCAAATAAAGACGAAAATCAACAGCTTCTGGGTGGTTTACCTCATCTAAAAACTCAACAAGAACAGGATGAGGACAAGAAGATACTAGATGATCTTCAGGTGTTATTCTCGTATTACAACCATCCTCTCTAAGTCTCTTGTTAGTTTTCTTCTTGGTTTCTTCTTCTGCTATTAGTTTGAGGTCTGAGTGTATAGGTGTTTTGAATCTTAATTGAACGGTCCTCTTGAATAAATTTTTCTCTGTTTTCTTTTTTTAGTTATTTTCTTTTCTGATCTTTTTCCAATCAACTCTACATCATGTTTCTTTTCTAGCAGTTTATGTGATCAGTCAATGTAGCAAAAAGTTTTGTTTTAGTTTTTCAATTGTAGGCCTTTATTAGAATTTTACATTTCAGTTGTATCAGTTTTTTTTCGTAAAGATAGGGTATTGCATTAAGATATCCTTCATAATTATTGGTAACAAGTTGACCAACTCATCACATGATAGTGTTATTCTCTTTGGTTGATCTCATGCACTGAAACAGGTCAAGCTTGGGTTGATCTAAGACCCGCTAAAATCATTCGGGATATGATGGAGATGATCCTGTTGACCATCTCCACCAATTGTACTGTCACTGAAGCACTTGACTGTAACACTCATGTGCACTCCTGACATGCCAGGTTCCGTCGCGCCCACCACCTGATGATCATCCTGAAATACAGAGCCAAGAGTCACCTGTTGACTGCACTTTACAACGGATGTCCCAAGTGGTTCTTTCGTGGAGGGTTATTGTAGGCTTTGAGAATTTCTTCACAAGAAGAAGAACCTGGAAAATCTACTTCTACATGACAAGGATATTTATCTTGTGGTATAATCCTGACACTTCTGCTAAGGCTCACATTGTGTTTATACCACATAGGTCATGCTCAATCATGGAATATCATTGTTGTGGAATGCCTCACACCTCAGCTACAATGTTATAGTGCAAGAGGAAGTGAAACTGACATTGAAGACTTTAAAACAGTTTCTGAACTGTAATTTATGATTCAAGTTTTGCTTACGCAGATAGATCTACACAAAATTATGTTTCAATACCTTGATCACTGAATCTTTCATGTCTCATTTTCCAATACCAATTCAATATATGTTCCATACTCATCCCTCTACAGAGCATTTGATTTAGCTGCAAATCAACTGATGGATTTAATTACTCTGTGATATGTCTAAATAATTCCTAATTTATTTCCCTTTCAAAATGATTCGAGTATTCCAGCCATACAAATCAAAATCCCAGGTATTGAATATTGTCCCCTAAGCATTTTCTGTGTCACAGGAAATCAACATACTTTATCTGGAAAAGACACAAGCAATGATGCTGGATACAGTCCCCCTTGGACTGCATATTTGAATGCATCTGGCAAGCAGATGTCTGACAAAAATGATGCTCAGATGTATCCAGCCAGATGACCTACTTTTCAAGGCACAGTCCACCCAGATGCATCTGGTGCACTGCTTGCAGATCTATTGACCAGATCAGTCCAACTATTAGTAGACTTCTGCTAGGTCATACATTTGGATACTTTCAGTAGCAAGTCTTCACCTTGCTCTGTAGATGTAAAGACGTAATCATGCTTGTTGAGCTGCTTGTATTGATTGACTTATTATTTGTGTGAAATTACTTACTGAAAGAGTTTTCAACATGTCCAAGATGCCAATCTGATGCTGTTTCAAAATCTCCTTTGCAATATCTTTGAGGTGATGAAGGCAATCAAATCCGTCATCTCAATCAAAGGTGTTGTCAATGTCAGTCCTAGTTAAAAAAGTAATCTCAGTAAAAAGATTGCTTGTTATTGAGTTGAGACAAATACCATGTCTTGAACTTGAGATCCTCAAGGCACAATATCCTGCCCAACTCAAGTCTTTGCCAAGTCTTGATATCTTTGAACAGTGCTATATTACCTGTTCCTTTCAAACTCCACTGCTCACCAAAGAGATCAATATTATATTTGGAGCCTTCTTGATATGATTTGCCTTTGAACATAACTCATTCAGCTTTTGTTGTGATTCTAGAATAGTTGTCAGTATGTTTAAATCACTGTAGAAGCCATGTGCCAATGCCAGTAGCCAATTGACATCAAAAGGTCAGATAATTGCATCACACGGAAATCGTTTGAAGCCAATGTGATTGGGTTGGAGTCCGCAAATTTGCAATGGTAGGACTGAGATCACACCATATGTATATATGCATGAGTCCTTCCCCATCAGATAATCCCCAGTCCTCAAGGAATAGGGGGTTATAGAACAGTTGGCACATCCAGGAATGGACATATGTGTGAATCACAGACATGCCCAGCTGAATCCTGTCTTGATGTTCATGTGAAAGTTTATGCTGTAGTGTAATTGAAGTCAGCAAAATATGGCTTTACAGGACTTGTGTGCATGACTT